ACAACGTTCAATCACATAAACTATCTCACCCATATTTGACCTTTGCACAGCTTATTTTTTTAGTAGTTTTTAGTTTAATCTTGTCTCTGGAAGTTTTAAGCATCTCTGCTTTTTGCGAAATTTTTGCAGCAAATCATTATATTTGGTTGTAGCAAGCAATTACCACATGAGCAATGTGACAGTAACTTTAACACTGCTCACTTTTAGAGAGTTTAAGCATCCTTCCCAAGTGGTGAAATTAAATCCTTATACATTATTTTTATGGCTCTTTGGGTGGCAGTGTTGGCCTGTCGGTCTGTCCATCACTTCAACATCTCATTTGTGGTTGAGACTCAAATGTCTACACAACTATTAGAGCGCTTGCGATGACATTTAGTACAGATCTCCATGGCGCCCAGAGGATGAATCCTAATGACTTTTGCTCTCGCGTCACCATGACGTTGATATTTGTGGTTAAGACTGGTATGACTCACCAACCTTTGCAGGGATTGCCATGAAATTGGACACAGACATTCAGGCCCCCCTCAGCATGAACATACCCATATTGGTAATCCCTTAACTTCTCATGTAGTGCCATTATCCGGTCCAAATTTAAATTTGTGCAGCTCTTTGGTTTATGACCAAATACCTGCTATTGAGCTACACTTGTATTTAGAGCTAATTTGCAAATAATGGCTCGCTAACATGCTAAACTACTATGATCAACACTCAGTGCAACTTAAACCTGATAAACATCAGCATGTCAATGTGAGCAAGTTAGCTACGGCTAGCATTAAAAATAATCATGGGGGACTCAACTTTACAGTTGCAAGGTTGGCAAAATTAGCAACCATTTTGAGGAAGTGGCTACCAATTCTTGGCCTTTGGTTGCCATCAGTGGCATCCACCTTTTAACAGTAAAAAATAGGGACAGCAACCATCAAAACATGCACCACAACAGAATAAATGCATGTTTAATATTTGCTGCATTGTGATATCTTAAAATTGCTGTTACAGTCAGAACTAAACCCAGATGACATCACATGTGCCAACGCTGCATGCATGTTGGTGCGTCATTTGAGTGCGCACAGGCATCTGTTTTAGAGACACTGGCAAAGCAAATTAAGTTGTTTGACTGTGCGGTGAAAAGTTTAACTAACCTGTCAACATCACAAATGAATGTGCAAATTGATTTAACTAACAAAGAACATGAACACTGATCAATAATCTTTCCATATTCCTTCCTCCACACACCTGACTTCCACAAATAGAAAACTATGTGCTTCTTTTTCCCCTTTCATGAGCCATAATCCTTTTCTCTATGAATCATCTTTGCCCCGGAGGTTGAGCAATTCTAAAACAGTCAAATCGAGCCCACAATGTTGTCACACACAGGATTCAATAATTGGTAAAACCTGTTTACCTGCAGGTGATTTATCCCAGCGTGTAAGAACAGAGACATTTTTGCAGTATGTCTGGCACTGCGTCTTTAAGAGCCAACAATATTTTCTTCCATATAAAATGTGATCCTGGCGCAGGGGATATATGTATGAGGTACATGCCCAGCTGTGTTGTGTAAAACAGGATTATATAAGTTTATCAAGACTAAGGACTTTAAGTCCGTGAAGACCTTGAGCATAACCTGAGCTATGAGAGGAATGTTAAGAATTTTAATTAGTTCCAGGATTTTTTTTAACCAATACTCTAAACCTCTCATCAAACTGTGTGCCCTTTTTTTTTATCATCTCTCATTTCAGCAATTGGAGAGAATGCACAAGGGAAGAACAGCCAAAGGAATAATAAATGCACTCCCTCTTCAACATTGTGTTTCAGACATACCTGCCAAAACCAAACAGAGTACTCAGTGTTCACTATGAGTACTAAAACAGAAAGACATGAAAATAATGATATGTTGTAATAAAGGCAAAAACATCAATGCCAAGAAGGGATGTTGCAAGAACCCATACTTCAGTACCACGTCGATGCCAAAATTCTGAAAATGTGAAGGTACCAGGGATGCAACTCTCTCCAGCCTGATGGGGCTGCATATACAAGTGTTTCTAGCCGTTAAATGCAAAAGGACGAAGAAAGCCAAGGAAACTAAAGATAAAAACATCAGTCAACATCACAACATGTGTGCCTTTTTATTTTGTGGAAGCATTTTTCAGTCAAGGTGAAATCAGCACAGATATGATTGATTACAGCAGGATTTGCCATGCCCACCATATTAACATCAATGAGGGGTGTGCAACATACATATCTGTACTGAATTGTTCGATACGAGGCTTTCGGTTCAGTATGCATTACCAAACGAACTATTCATTGAACTGAAACAAAAGATACAGCTTGATCTGTGTTTAATATAAAGTTCTTAGCGTCACTGCGCCCAACAAAGCAGCCAACAGGATGTAACAGCAACATGCTGTCTGCTCCTCCCACCGCCAAACCAGAACCAACCCCCCGAGCCAGGACACGAGAGCTGCTGCGTGGCTAGTCTCTCGTTCAGCAGCTAGTAGCAGCTAATGTTAGCACAAAACACACAACCACCATAATGAGCAGTAACTGCCGACAGGCCAGGCTGCTGATTCTGCCGCAAAGACTGAAAGGTACATCAGTGACGTCTGCTTAGCTTGTGTAGATGACTGAAGCAACACTGATACACTTTAATGTCAGTAGTAACGTAGGTTTTGTACACTAAGACACAGAAATGGTAAAAAAACAGTTAAATGGTCTAACTCCACAATTCACACCACACAGTTCACAGTCTTTTCACATTTTCAACAAGCACTTTCTAACTCGTATAACGTGCTTAGTACAAAATCACTGATTTAACTTTACCCAGACGTAAACGAGCCCATTTCAGCCGGACTGTAATTTCTGCTTTGTACAAAAAACACAAAAGCCCGAATTATTTTTACATTTAAAAGTTCTTAAAAATCATGACAATTTCTCTGGCATTTCTACTTTTTTGTTGTATCGAAAAGGTACCAAACCGTGACACCACTGTATCGTATCGAACCGAAACGTGACTTTCGTGAACTGTTACACATCTAAAATCAATCAAAGTGGCACCAATACAAAATTCAAACGCTGTCACTGACGTAATAAACCTTCCTATTTTTTTTAGTTTCCTTGTGTTACGTGCCTGTGTGTTTTGGGCCCGCCTTTTGTTTTGTGTTTTTCCCTTACTTTTTTCAGCGTGCAGCTGATCTCCATCATTCCTCATCAGGGAGGGTATAAATGAATGCAGGAGGAGGGCCAAGAGGCTGTGACAGAGTTGTGACATTAAGATGTGGGTAACAAGTAAAAGTTTGGCTTAATGCTGTGATATTTGGTTGGCTGTGATTAATATGTTCTTTATGTTTGTGTTTCCCTGCTACAGGCGATCCGGTTCCCTTTTGGAGCTCGTTTGTCCCATTTGTGTTTTAAATAAACTTTTTGCCGTTTTTCTTTTTTTGAAAGTTCCCTCTATTTCATTATGTTACCCCCCTCCATAGACCTCTCCTTAAGTAAATGTATTTTTCAAAATTCTTTGCAATGGGAATGCTGCTGGTTTTCACTATGCTGCGAACATCAGCACCATAACCAGGCACTGAGCACCGCACGTTTGGCATTTTTTTCCTGATTGCTGAGCGTTAACAAATGTTCAACTTGGGGTAAAACGCCGCACTCATCAGCGTCACCCAGCCGTCCAATCACCGTGGAGGAGGGGCAGGACAAACAGCCTACCACAAAGACCAGCTTTCACATCAACATGTTCAAGTGCTGAAGTTAACATACTGTCGGCTATATACAAATAATTTAAGTTTCTTCACTCGCAAAATCTTATTAATCCACGCAGACTAGTTCTTGGCATTAGAGATGGATCATCAGAGATTAATAATAACATTTAATTAACTAATTTAAATGTTTTAATAAAGGAGTGTGTGTTAACGAACATGGGAGTTGTTTTGTTTTTCTATTTTTACCGCGGTATTGAGTATTGAGAATAGTAGAATTTCACTGGTATTGGTATTGACTACTACATTTCTGATATTGTGTCATGCTTAATGCCAAGTGGGCATTTAGGATTACTAAAGAGATGTGTAATCTGACAGACAGTAAAATGGTCTGTGGCTGAGGTCGCTGTAGGAAACCTAACACAGCTGTGTTACATAGTTGAGCAGGACGCAATGGGATGCAGAACTGATCTGAACATTTTTAAGTCGCCTGACTTGTCTATGACACTATGTTCACACATTTTTCTTCAGGTGAACAGAGCAAATACAGTGTTTTACTGTGAAATACAAAATGGTCATATGCTTTTAACCATTGGGAGCAGATTTCAGCTCCTGCGTCCATGTGGTCCTGTTCAGGCAGGACAGAAAACAGCACTCACAAAAACAGGACGTAGAGCACATATGAGTGCAAGAACAGCTGACCATATGTTTAACTTAAATCATCCTCTAAAAACACTGGGCGAATAAAAAACAAATTGCATCAGGTTGTACATACAGACTCACACGAATATTATATCTACCATTAGACAGAGAAATGTTGGGGAGGCCTCAAACATTTCTTTCAGCATTACGCAGATAAGGTTATTATTTAATGAGGGAAACAGTAGGTTTACTTTACCTAGATAACACAAGTAACTCTACATATACCTTTGTAAATCAATGGCCATAATCTAAGAGCCACTCCTAAGGAGCACAAATCACTAATCCTCACTTAATTCATCCCATCATGCCATTCCAACGGGCTTCAGGCTGTCACAGATAATTCACTACATTTAGAAAATCAAACAAAGCTCCTACATTCCTCCCCTGCTCCTGGTACCACAAGCTACCCTCCGAACTGAAATTCAACCCAGCACGAAAATATGAGAGAGCCAACGTTCAGGTAAGATCTAATAAAACAAACACACATTGTGGCCTACGTGACAGCAAACTTGGCCAGGAAGACTCTGAAAAAAATTATCTAAAATATCTTATAATAAAGTTGAAAAGTTCTCAAAAAGTTCTGAGGAATTAACATCTCACCATCAGATGCAAACAGGTCCACTTTTCGCTGGTCGGCGAAGTAAGGATGTGGCGTTCAGTGACTAAACATTACCAATGAAATGCTGTCAATATCAAACCGCAGACTGTAGTCCAACTGGGCAACAGTTCACTCCACACAATTCACCAGTGTGACCTCGACATTTAATCTTCCAGCTTAAAGAATTAAAATGGTCAGAATTCTTGTCATTTGAATTACATGCTTGTAAAACCTATGGTAATGAGGTGAAGGCGGTCCTGGCTGTATCGCTCTGAGCCCGTGTGGTGCCTGAGATCCTGAGTTTCGTCCATCCGAGTTGGACTTTGGACCTCTTTTGGGTCAATACAGAAACAACGGATGAAAATCAAGCAGGCACGCAGCTCCTGACAAACAGGTGCTGGTATTTTACCACGTCAAATTAACTAGCAAGGTCTTCTGTAGTCAATCATTACACAGTCAACAGAGGAGTGAGGTTACAGTGTGATTTCAGAGCTGATTGGGCTGCTCTGTGTTTGGGTAATCTTCTCACTGTATGCATACTGTGGCTCGTAACACACATTTAACAAAGTTATGGAGTACAAGAATGAACCTACAGTGCGTGTCTGTTGAATGTTTATTTATTTTTAATTTTTTTATATTATATTTTTTATATTTGTCCAAATGAACACAGCTTTGACACAAGACTGCACGGATCACACCTGAAAGGAGATAGTTAACACTCTCTCCATAGAGCAGCTACATGTCTGAATACATGTATGAATTTCGAAGATGAGTTACTGCACTGAAGAAAATCTAAAGGCCCTGACGCACCAAGCCGACGGTCGGCTACTGATTAATGCCGGGCCGTCAGTGAGCGTCTGTTGCCCTAGTTTTTGCAGTGTGTCCTGCACCTCTGGCACTAGTCGGCCCTTGTCAGCCCTTATCGTCTGTTTTTTGGCAGATTTAGGCCCTGATCACACAGAAAGCATTTTAGCAGCTGGAGGTGGCTTTTTGTAACTGTTTTTTAATGAGAATGAAGGTTTTTGCTCACAGTTTTTGTGTTGCGATGCGCCTCGTGTTTCTGTGCACTGAACCCCTTGACTTGGAAAAACTCAGAGTGGAAAAGTGTACTACGTCATCTAAGCTTTTTTCCTATTGTCCAATTAGGATGATTTGAAAGGCAGGCCTTCTGTGGTGGTCACAACAACAAATTTACACTTTACTGTACTTTTCCACCGCAGGTACTTTTATCATTTACCCAGGATTTTGAAAAAAAAAAAAACAGCGTGTTTCCATTGAAATTACGGACAGACGATGAGGTCCAGGCTCTTTTGAGCGTATTTGCCAAGGAAGAAATTCAGCGGGACTTCGAGTCGTCAACTCACAACGACCGAGTCTATGGGAGAATAGCCGACAAGCTGGCTGAGCTAAATATAGGGCACACGCCGACACAAATTCGTGAAAAGTTGAAAAACTCAAGCAAGATTATAAGAAGCTGAAGGACCACAACAGCCGCGGTGGTTTCGACTGCCGTACTAACAAGTGGTATGACCAGCTCGACGCCACACTGGGCCATAGACTGGCATATTTTGGCACTACATTAACAAAGGACTCGGCGACCTTGTTCCTTGAGGCCATGTGCCAAGATACACAGGAGGCAGTAAACCAGTGGAACAAAGGTAAATCACAACAAAAAAACTTGAGCGTCCTCCATCCTGGCGTATTGTGTCACACAAATGATGATGCGGGCTTGTCGGTCGCTGATTATGGCGTAATCGTGCTTGTTTGGCCTTCAGCTTCTTCTTACCGCCACCTACTGGACTGGAGGTGTTGTGCAGTTTCTTTTACCACTCCCCCATCTGTCATCAGCCCGATTTGAATAAACTGTCCAGAACTTTAAGGTGTGGTGGAAACGCAAACCACACAGATTACCAGGAATTTTTACCCAGGTAAATAAATACCTGGAAATAAAAGTTCCTGGAAATGTTGGTGGAAAAAGAGCCAATGTCTGTACTTACTTTAACTGTAATCCACCCAGTGACTGTTATATATTTCGCCTCTCCTTCTCTACGTCTAATTTTATTCTGTAGCACCAGACAAGAAAAATTTACAACAACATGTTTGTCATGTCAGCAGTGATGTGCCAGTTATCAGAGCAGTCAGTACTGTGCGTTTCATTAGTTGACAGTTAACTATTCTGGGACAAAACTGATAAAAGTCAAAGTACGAACACATATGCAGAGAGTAATATTTAACTTCTGTAAGACATCATCACCTTTGCCATCGTGATAATGGACCCATGGAATTGATCTGAAATCATGATTTGTTTGGCATCCTGTATTGTAAAGTAAAAGATATTGAAAATGTTCATATTAGGAAGGCATTCATCTGAGACTTCAAAAGTAGGTGGAAAACATGGACACTGACACTAACTGATGTTGATGCAGTTTTACACTGACGGACAGACTGTTTATCACAGTTAACGTTTCTGTTTGTCAGTTCTAAGTATCTCATTATGTTCTGAATATAGCTCATGTGCTGTGTGTTATGTTTACTGCCACTGCAAAGAAAATTTTTTGTTCATGTATGTCATAGTTTGTCCTTCGGCACCATTCAGGGGTATTTATGCTAACATCACCAAGAGCTCTGTAGGAGAGGCTCGAACTGGGGCTACGGTTCTTTATCAGAGGCACAGCATCTGCTGCCACTGTTGCTGGGAGCCTACGTATGTAATAGACCTCACAGTCATGTCTGTTTTGTCACAGTTAGGGAGAAGCGAGAGACTTGGGCTGAACCAAACTTCAAGACCCCCAGTTTTCTTATGGAGTCAACCATAAGATTCATCATGAAATCAACACTTTCTTGAGTGACGTTGAAAGTGTGATTGAAGTTCATGTGATAAGAAAATGATAAGATTTTGACACAGCCTTAAAGAGTGAGTAAAAAGGCATTCCCACCAGCAACCTTGCAAATGCTCCCTCAACTCTGAGTTGTATCTGAATTAAAAGAGTCTTTTGTCGTATTTACCTTGGTGATGAGCAGAGGTTCTCGATGCTCCAGTCCTCCTCTGAGTGTAAATCCCCATGGCGCTCCTCCTGACAGAAATACATCCACCAGCTTATAGCCATCACCATCTCTGCTCCTCTGATCCAGATCCTCCGATCTCTGCCTCACATGCCAACGGCTCTCTGTTTCTGTTTAGTGTGCATCATGTTTATATCCCTCAGCATCCATGGTACTGCTGTAACAGTAAAGAAACAAAGGAAAGCATGAAAACATGTTCAGACACAAAATGATAGTAAGCACATTACTGTTGACCAAATGGCACTGTATTTAAAAAGGCTCAATCTCAGGCCCAATGGTGAACCATAAAATACCATCAAGCACATAATCTGTAAACATGTCCTGCTCCAGTTTTATGCTGATGACACCTCGCTGTAACTCTCTCTGAAATCTACTGTCCAGCCTGGCAAGAGCAGAAGTCTACAGCTACAGATCTTCCCTGGTGCTAAAGAACAAGACAATATTACCCCCATCTTGGCGTTGTTACACTCAATGACGGTCAATTCCAGAAAAGACTGAGATTTTACTGATCACTTTCACAGCTCAGTGTGGTCCGGCCAACCGTCACACCACTGATCTTTTAAGCCCTCCTGAACCTGAGCGTGACCTGAAAACACAACTGACTGTTCTACAATCTAAAGCTAACTGAGCATTTGCACGTGGCTGGAGAATATGCCCAGTAGGTAAGAAAATGTTCAACTGTAAATATTCTCTATTAATTTTTAATACATGTTTTTGTACAGCTGACTTTAAATATCAAATAAAATGATTTATCAACAACTTTCAAGGCCCCATTCCCTCAAATTCAAGGGCCCAACACAGCATAGTTTGAGACACAAATAAAGGTTAATTACTGTTATAAAACTGAGAGCAGGCTCCACAGAAGCCCACAGATAACAATTAAAAAAGAAAGTTATGGCAGACAACATCAAAAGAACTACTATTTCTAGTCTTGAACAAAATATATGAATTCAAGAACTTTCACTGACCCATGTCTAACCCAAAAAATAATCATAATCATATTTCCCCCCATTAAATTCACAAGCTTTCAAGGATTTCAAGGCCCGGTGGGAACCCTGTCTCCATTTTTTACGAAGCACTTTGATATGTCTGCTTAAGGCAAATTGTTAGGGATGGGGGGATCGATATAGCATAGGATATCAATACTTTGCATGGCAATAATATATTGATAGATGGACACCGAGATTTTTTTATTGTGTAAATTATTTTAAATACAAATTAAGCTTATAGTAGCCTACTAGCATAATGAAATTAATTACCTTTTCAGTCTACTAGATACATTTTGATTAAGTTTTCCTACATAATTTGTAGTTACAAAAAGGTAATAAATATATCGCAATATATGTTATCGCAATACATTTAAAATTGCAATAATATTGTAATGTGACTTACAAGGCATGCTAACATCGTTTGTTGGAGCTTCCTGTGATTCCCATCTTTAAAAATAGTTATGATTGGTCAATAATACATTAGATAATAGATTGCTGTATCATTGTCAATCTGTTTGATACATGACATAATACACCTTCCCCATGAATGTTTTACATTACATGAAATAGAAATTAATTTTAAAACATTTAAGTCTGAATTCTTAACAGTCTATAACTACTTTACTTTAAAACACAAATGTGTTGTAATAATTAAGATAAAAAAAAACTTTACAGAACTGTTCATATTAATTTGATCAAAACAAAAGTTTTAATTTTGACCAACTGCATCTTAAAACACTGAGTCGTGTGCTGACTTTAACGGCCTATTACTAACTGGCCTTTTGTCTGTTTACATGGTGTAGGGTTTAACTGACAATAATGTCTGTTATTGCAACGGGTTAGAAGACAAAAGGAACATGATCAAAGCATGTCAGTGCACACAAAGGTTAATATACAAACATGGCAGCATCCGAAACAAACATCAAACTATCACAACGAGGCACTACAATAATATCACTGAATGTGCCTTTATTTTGGTAGGAATCTAAATGTAGGATGTCATTGTATTGGATTTTTGGAACATTTAAATAAGGATAAAGATAGAATAGTAGCTCTCCCCTAAACATTAAACGTTTTAAATATTCTTTACAGCATTAATTTGATACTATTTCAACACAAATGCCTCTTATTATAAGAATTCAGCATTCATTTAGTGGTTTTGGTCACTTGATTACTCTGCTTAAACATCAAGGCAAATTTAATTCAAGTTAATTAGGTTAAGAGGTATCACATCTAAGATGTAAGTTAATTTTAACATAGATTTCTGACCTTCATGGTTATAATGACCACACTGTCTTAGAATAAACTTAAATACTTTATAAGGAATTCTTCGTAAAGACACATTATGACTGTGTGGATGTTAATATAATAACATTGCTTGTTATGAAAGCTGTTTGCCTCAGTCTCTGTGGTATAAACTCATCCTGGTGTCACTAAGTTAGAAAATCTGTACGGCTGCGTCAACACCTGTTGTCATACACTGCAGACAGGCTGACTTAAACTTAATGCTCTTATGTGTGAGAGAATTAAACACTAACAATGTCGAGCAGCACAATGGAAACCATGTTCGTCTGCACCAACAAATAACCAACACCGGGCTGAGTTAAACAGACGTGCTCCTTTAAAAAGGTGACCGAGTCTTCGTCTGAAACAAACACTTTGTTATTAAATTAAATACTCGAGTCTGTGGTGTTCAAACCTTTCTAGAAAAACGTTATAAACACATGTTTTTAAAGGCTGACCTTACCTGGGAACTCAACTTCTGGATAAACCGGTGAACACGAAAGCTCGGTCGGTGTGGCACGCAGCTAACGTTATATCCCAGGTTTACGTTACACATACTTCATCTTTTACGACCCGGTTACTGTCCAAAGGAATCACTTTTTATACTCCGGTAGTTCTTCGGACGATTTCAGGGAGTTTTAAACTGAAGGTTTCCACAGTTTTAACCGCTGTAGTTCAGTCCGTGTCCTACTTCATGATAACAAACCGACACCGACACACTGACACACTCAGGAGAGTTTAAATTAGCTAAGCTAACGTAGCAGCAGCTCCATCCAGGACAACAGGGATAACAAGTGGAGACAGCACAGCGCAACACCGCCACCTGCCGGCGGACAGGCGGTAACGTCACAGCTCCCTCTGAAGAATCTCAGCTCTGATAACGTTTTAGTTGATCTATATGGGAATATGACACTGCTGTCTCAGTGCTTTTAAAAATGGTATTTTATATTGCTTCAATTTTCCCTTAGGTTTTTGGCACTGGACCACACATTTGATGACCATTACATTCTTGTGACTTATAAATCACGTTAAAATTATTTCTTGTTTATTTGTTCAGTCTTTTAAAGTGTACGCCCTGTTTTCTTTTTGTGTGGTTTTGTTCTGTTTCTTTCTTTGTTTCTAATAAAAAATAGCATTTTGGCTAATTCTGGCATTTTTATACCATGTGTATTTATTAATTTGCACTTTCCCTTTGTCAATAAACTAAGCTAAATGAATTACTACTAAACTAAATAAAACTGAACTAAACTAATTAAACTAAACTAAACTAATTAAACTAAACTAAATGAATTAAACTAAACTAAATAAAACTAATTAAACTAAACTGAACTAAGCTTGGCTAAACTAAACTAAATTAATCAAACTAAATTAAAGTAATTAAACTAAACGTATTAAACTTAACTAAACTAAGCTAGGCTAAGCGAAGCTAAACTACACTAAACTGATTAAATGTAACTAAACTAAATTAAACTAATTAAATTAAAATAAAATAATTAAACTAAACTAAGTAAAATAAACTAAATAAGCCAAACTAATTAAACTAAACTAATTAAACTAAATTAAGCTAATTAAACTAAAATAAAATAAAATAAACTAATTAAACTAAACTAAACTAAAAATAATTAAGCTAAACTAAACCTTTAATGGCCACGTCTGTGTGCACATACAAAAGATTTCATTTGTGTTGCTCTTAGTGTACATACCATAGGAAAAAAAACACCACTACTCATGGGAAAGTACAGGAATGTCAGTTTGGATTTTTTAGATAATATCCATCAGTCGAACATCTGCCTACAAAAAACAGGTTGGGGTATTGCACCAAGCAGGATTACTCTTATAGCCAGGCACACCTGCAAAATAGAATGCAATAAATTCTTGGAACATTTGTTTATAAATACCAATAACCACTACTTGTGGTCAAAGGGGGTTCAGTTACAGTAGAAAAGCAATAGTAAAATAAGAATAAAAAATCATTCCTTTCCTTTTATGGTCCCAAATTGTTTGTAGTAGTTATCTACACACAAAAAAAACAGGAGGAAAAACATAATGTAATTATTTAATTCACTATCCAAACATGAATTTAGTTGAACTACCAACAAGTTACTGCAAATTTAATTAAACTAACGTTACTGCCTGTGAAAGGAAACTGTTCTGGTGTTCAGAGCTCTGTAGCACCCATTGTAACAGGCTGTGTCTAGTGAGTGTGCTGCAGTGTTACTGACCTGCCCGTTTCCTCAATCTGAATGGAGAACAGGCTGTCAACAATAATATTATTTTTGTAGTCCTTACTGTTTGTTGTAGTCCGTTCCTGTGTGGCGTCTGATACAAACTACAGTGATGGACGAGCAGTGTGTTTTCCTTTAATTTAAACGTACAGATATAAACTCACATTAACCCCAAAGCTGAGACTTTAATACTATGACATTACTTTTAAAGTATAACAGATAGCTAACCGCTATTTAGCCACTTAGCTAACTATTAACTTAGCGTACGTTTCCATAACAACCTGTTGGGGTACAGTTGCACTTCAGGGACAAACTTAACCAATTCGCGGAAGTGGTTGAACAGTGAAACGTCAACAGCTTCACCAGCACTCCGAAGTTAGTAGTTTCAAACTGTCAGGAAAGTCGACATATAACACAGTAATCGATCATTAGAGCATGTTAAAGAGCTTATTATAAGTTAATTGACAAACAGTTTAAAGTATGTTTCGGAACTGGGGAGCCTGGCTCGGGATAGAAAACGAAAATGGCCCCGTTAAAGAAGAAGACGACTCTGTTGTTGATGTTAATGAAGACAAGAATCAGGACATAAACAAACCGACTGTTGTGACTGCAGAAAGTGAGCCGATCAATGCTGGAAAAGAAGGTGATGAACAACCTCAGCTTCTCCAGAAAGCTAAAGGCTTCAGTGGTAAGTTTGATAAACTTTATAAAGTAGTGGACTTCATGGTGCTGACATATTCCTACTGTGCAACAACAATAATGTCTCCATGAATTACTTCCTCACACTATTCTTTAAAGTGTTTATAACACATGTATGACATTGTAGCTTAGATTAAGGTCTTCTTTATCACATAAACACAGAATAATGAACAATCAAATACTGTGTTTGACCTTTTCTCAACGACATTTGGTACATGTGCTTTATTTTACAGTTTACCCAGTGCAGAGGAATCAGCTTCTTTTCTAACTTATGTTTCATGATGTTAATTTGTTTGCCATAGTCTTTAAGTTCCACCCTGTCAGTCAGACTATATTATGGAGAAAATTGTTTCCATTGCAAAAATATATATATATACAGTACAGGCCAAAAGTTTGGACACACCTTCTCATTCAATGCGTTTTCTTTATTTTCATGACTATTTACATTGTAGATTCTCACTGAAGGCATCAAAACTATGAATGAACACATGTGGAGTTATGTACTTAACAAAAAAAGGTGAAATAACTGAAAACATGTTTTATATTCTAGTTTCTTCAAAATAGCCACCCTTTGCTCTGATTACTGCTTTGCACACTCTTGGCATTCTCTCAATGAGCTTCAAGAGGTAGTCACCTGAAATGGTTTCCACTTCACAGGTGTGCCTTATCAGGGTTAATTAGTGGAATTTCTTGCTTTATCAATGGGGTTGGGACCATCAGTTGTGTTGTGCAGAAGTCAGGTTAATACACAGCCGACAGCCCTATTGGACAACTGTTAAAATTCATATTATGGCAAGAACCAATCAGCTAACTAAAGAAAAACGAGTGGCCATCATTACTTTAAGAAATGAAGGTCAGTCAGTCCGGAAAATTGCAAAAACTTTAAATGTGTCCCCAAGTGGAGTCGCAAAAACTATCAAGCGCTACAACGAAACTGGCACACATGAGGACCGACCCAGGAAAGGAAGACCAAGAGTCACCTCTGCTTCTGAGGATAAGTTCATCCGAGTCACCAGCCTCAGAAATCGCAAGTTAACAGCAGCTCAGATCAGAGACCAGATGAATGCCACACAGAGTTCTAGCAGCAGACCCATCTCTAGAACAACTGTTAAGAGGAGACTGCGCAAATCAGGCCTTCATGGTCAAATAGCTGCTAGGAAACCACTGCTAAGGAGAGGCAACAAGCAGAAGAGATTTGTTTGGGCCAAGAAACACAAGGAATGGACATTAGACCAGTGGAAATCTGTGCTTTGGTCTGATGAGTCCAAATTTGAGATCTTTGGTTCCAACCGCTGTGTCTTTGTGAGACGCAGAAAAGGTGAACGGATGGATTCCACATGCCTGGTTCCCACTGTGAAGCATGGAGGAGGAGGTGTGATGGTGTGGGGGTGTTTTTCTGGTGACACTGTTGGGGATTTATTCAAAATTGAAGGCACACTGAACCAGCATGGCTACCACAGCATCCTGCAGCGACATGCCATCACATCCGGTTTGCGTTTAGTTGGACGATCATTTATTTTTCAACAGGACAATGACCCCAAACACACCTCCAGGCTGTGTAAGGGCTATTTGACCAAGAAGGAGAGTGATGGAGTGCTGCGGCAGATGACCTGGCCTCCACAGTCACCGGACCTGAACCCAATCGAGATGGTTTGGGGTGAGCTGGACCGCAGAGTGAAGGCAAAGGGGCCAACAAGTGCTAAACACCTCTGGGAACTCCTTCAAGACTGTTGGAAAACCATTTCAGGTGACTACCTCTTGAAGCTCATGGAGAGAATGCCAAGAGTGTGCAAAGCAGTAATCAGAGCAAAGGGTGGCTATTTTGAAGAAACTAGAATATAAAACGTTTTCAGTTATTTCACCTTTTTTTGTTAAGTACATAACTCCACATGTGTTCATTCATAGTTTTGATGCCTTCAGTGAGAATCTACAATGTAAATAGTCATGAAAATAAAGAAAATGCATTGAATGAGAAGGTGTGTCCAAACTTTTGGCCTGTACTGTATATGTATATATATATATATATATAAAAATCTGTTTATGTGTAGAAGATCAGCTAGATAATCTGGATCACTCACAGAGCAAAGGGCGACTGAGACCTATAGACCAATATCAACCAGTCCACTCATAAGGATTATTATTTGAATGCCTGTGATTGGTCAATATGTTTTCCTGACAATTAAACATGTCATTATTCTTATATAATGCAATAAATAAATGAAGAATTATAAGATCGAGATGTTGCAGCGTGACAGGATAGGCCCTATTCTTAGTTGTGATACAGACTTTGCAGAAGGTGTGTCGTCATTTTGCTGTAGCAGTATCTGTCTAACCCCAGTAATGTATGTTTTATTTGTTTTATTGCAGGTTACATTTATAATTTCGCCAGCAGTGCCTCAAAGAAACTGTCCGAGTCCGTCGTCGAAACAGCACAAACCCTGAAGAAAAGTGTGGAGGAGGGAAAGATCAATGGAATTATTGATAAGGTAGATAAACATCAGCTTCCACCTTAATTTTAAGTTTTTCACCTCCTACTTTGTTCTAAAGAATAATGTGTTTTTCCTCCTCAGACCATTCTGGGTGAATTCCAGAAAGAACAGGAAAAATTTGTTCAGGAGAAAAAATCTAAAACATTTAGTAAGTACTGAAACGTGTGTTAATTTACACATTAAGTGTCTATTTGTGATATTTAAGTGTATTACAGTACAGTCACTACAGGCATTGTCTCTAGGTGCTGCTGTGCCACCATGGGTTGGTTATAATGAAGAGGACACCATACAGCAGCAGATTTTGGCTCTCTCAGCTGTGAGTATCACAGAAAAATAGTTCAATTGTGCATCAATATAATTCAGAGTAAAGTGTCACTTCAGTTTATTGCCTCGTTTGTCGACAGGACAAAAGGAATTTTTTGCGAGATCCTCCCGCTGGGGTGCAATTTCACTTTGACTTTGAGCAAATGTATCCAGTCGCCATGGTGATGTTGGAAGAAGACGAGCTCCTTCGGAAGATGCGCTTCCATCTGGTCCCCAAACAGTCAGTGTTGTGACACTTGAATAATACTTTTGAATGCGTTCTCATCATGTACATCCCTGCATAAGAGTGTGCTTTATTAAAAACAAAAAATATTATATTCCAGCACAGAGCTGACAGCCTGTTCCTCTTTGTCGTTCTTTTTAGAGTGAAAGAAGAAGTCTTCTGGAAGAATTACTTCTACCGTGTGTCCTTGATAAAACAGTCAGCTCAGCTCACAGCTCTCGCAGCACAACAGGCGGCTGAGAAGAGAGACGGGGAGAAAACTGGCACCGCTCCCGACACTGTTCATCAAAAGGGTATCGTCTACATTGTAGTGTAGCGCCTAGTTTTAATCTGAAAGAGAAACCATGGCCATTTACAAAATTCCTACATTTAATTCCTATGGTCTTAGACAATCCAAAAATATTGGTAAACATGAACAACACTCCCCCAAGTCCAAAAAAAAGAGAGCTAAAACTCTTGTTTGTCATGTCATAGTGTGTAAAGTCTGGAGCTGCTCCACAGACAATGAATTGTAAAAGGCGTGACAGATGACACAGAGAGCAGCCAGGAAAATGTTCCGAGTATATGGGAACATTTTCTATTTCAGAGTGAGAACACTAATAGAATAAAAATTATTTGGGTATTAAAAAAGAAAACAAACAATCTGTGGGTCCACAAAATCAGGCCATTGTGCCGCCTCGCCGTTCTGTATAATAGGTATAATTGCAGAATGCGGGGGGGGGGCAGAGTTGTCTCGCCTCTAAGGCAGCAGCAGGGGTAGTAACAGCACCTGAAATGGCGTCTGTCCAAACAGGATAGCCTGCAGGGCGGGATCATTTCTGGCATGGGTGTGATGCTTTGAAGACGTGTTATGTGTGCGACCCATCGCCAGAGATTCAAAAGGTAGCTGATAGCAGTCAGCAGCTAACTCAAAGAAGAAGAGCAGCAGCAGCTATACAGTAAATGTCAGCAAATTAGGAAAACAATGAGGCCCAGGAGCTTCTTAGGGCGAATTCACACCAGGGATAGTCCGGGGGACTCGGTTCGATTGGTTGGGGAATGCAGAAAAATTTCACACTTTCATTTGGTTTGGTTCACTTTTACACTGCACTTTTTAAAGAGGACCAAACCGCCTGGACAATGTCACGCAGTTACAACAGCTGCTCATTTGGGGGCGGTATTGTCCGACGACCACTGACCACTTGCAAGTGAACTGAGACCCCCCAGTTTTCAAGCGCACCAGGGTTCGCTTGTTTGGTCTGCACCAGAGTTCGAATGAGCGTTCACACCACTCCAAACGAACTGAACTATCTGTGGAAGTGGACCAGGGTTCGTTTTCAAGCGGACCAAAAAAAAAAAAAAAATTGAATTTCCCATCGGGGATTAATAAAGTATATAATGATTAAATAGTGCCAGTGTGAATGCGTCCTAAAAAGGGCTAGTGTCTATGGAGCAGCTCCAGACTTTATACTCTATGACATCATCTGGTGTCTGGCTTTAAGAGAGTGTTGCTCATGTTCACCAGTATTAATTCAGCTTCCCTCGGCCATCAAAATAACATACTGGAGTTATTAATTTAGGTGGCGTTCCCCTTTAACGGGGCTTTATGGAAAATACAGAGCATATGCACACGGTTTTCAGCATGTAGGTGGCCAAGCCTGAATCTAGCAGATAACTCTAACGCTAACTCTATGACAGCACTAAAGAAGCTCGGATTAAAAAAACACGCAGAGTTAGAGCGACTTCATTCTCAGGAAACTCCACTGTATCTTTCCATAGCAAACAGTGGTTTGCTGCTATATCAATGTTTTGAATGTTGTATACTGCTCCTGCAGCAGTCAGAAAAATATTATAGATTAGTGTGCAATGTTCTTGTTATTTTTAAAGCATGAATAGGACCTTTTTGTATAATATTCTTAAGAGGTAATGTCAGAACCTTTTCTTTTGCAGATGTAGTTAAACGGAAAACTCCTGCTGTCTGCAGCACCAAACCAAAGTCCAGGGAGGTAGGCTGCCTGTTTTCAAAGAATAAAATAAAACGCCCCCCAAAAAATAAGAGTGTGGACTAAAATGAATGTGGCGAGAGTGTGACCTCTTTTTGTTCCTGCTCTGAAAGGAAGACGAAGAGATCTCCACCAGCCCGCCTGTGTCTGAATTCGTGAGTGATGCTTTTGACTCCTGCAAGATAAATGAGGACGACCTACGCAAAGAGATGGAACAGCTGGTGCTGGACAAGAAGGGACAAAAAAGCACTCATCAGGGTACGTTTTTTGTTGTTGTTGTTGAGCTGGGTTGTCATTTTGTTTATCAGAGTTCAACATGTGACTCAACATTGTGTTTTTCAGAGGAGACTCCTGACTGGGAGAGAGAGCTGCAGGAGGAGCTTCAGGAGTACGACGTGTTGGCTGATAATGAGAACCGTGATGACAACTGGGACAGGGAGATTGAAGAGATGCTAATGGAGGACAGTAAGAGCACTTAGACGAGCTCCACCAGCCTTAAGTGTGTGAAGGACACATTTTAAATTCAGAAACAGCTCATGATTACAGATTTAATGCTCCCAGCGGGATGATTCATCGCTGTATCAGTCCTCTAAGAACTCTCAAGATGCAGAAACACCACTGAACGTCTAACAGTTCACTGTACTATTTCTGTGGCCTGAAAGTTTTATGAGTAAATATTTAGTATTGTAAAGAAGAGATACTGTCCCACATCTCAAGTTCATAATGTGATACTGAGGTACACCTCCACAGAGGGCTGAAACTTTGCCTCAGACTTGGCCTCGGGAACTAAAGCGAGACTATGAAACTTTTGCTGACAGTGGCCATTGTTGACTCGAGTGGTAATTACAGGATAATGGTAAATGTAGAGTAGAGAGGAGTCACAATATCAGCATACTGACTCAGTGGTGTCTCTTGCACAGTAATATCTGCCTGAAGTTTGCTTCCAGTAGCTAACATTAGCCTCCATAAGCTAATGGTCAAACTAGATTTGAGTACCAAGCTGTAGCACCAAAACCAGTGAGTTTATTGAAACTGTCCATTTGTTAATTGAATATAAACAGGACCTGTTATGCTCATGTTCACGTTCATACTTGTCTTTTGGGTTTCTACTAAAACGTGTTTACTAGAGGTGGGGGAAAAATCTATATAGCATAGTATCGCGATACTTTTGTGTGGCAATATCATATTGTCACATAGTGCCAAGAATCAATTATTTTATTATATAGATTATTAATATTACAAATACAACTTAAAATGTAGGTATCCTGCTAGAATAACATAATCAGCTGCTGATCATGCTTTGTCACTTCACTACATACATGTTGCTGCTGCAAAAAAATGACTGAAGTGAGATGAACCGACTGAAAATTTTATCCTATACGAGAAGACAGATGTTGACCAAGTTTTCCTTTGGGGACATAATTCATGGTTGAAAAATTATGATAAATCACAATATATTACAATATAATTTACCCCAATACTCAATATATTGAAACATATTCAAAATCGTCGATCCTCTGGTGATTCCCACCCCTACAGTTTACATGTTTTAATGCTCAAAAAACACTTTATTTTCCTCCTACTGTCTGTGCTTAAACATTTGCTTTGTTGTAGTGCCTGTCTCTTTAAGGCCCCATCCCGAAAAAGCCCAGTCTGCTCTGATTGGTCAGTGTTAACAGGTCTTCCGCAGCCTTAACAAGTAGATATAGCTGCCACCATGAGTCCACAATGAGCTCCCTTCAGTCCCAAAGTGGAAGCCCTCAAGAAAATGCTAAATTAGCTTTTAGCTAGCAATGAAGTGAAGGTTAAAAGAGAGGCTGTTAAGGTTAGGGTGAGAGTAATCTTGACATCTTGTTACTTATAGGGTGAATCACGTCATGAATATATAGCAAATGTATAAAGTGGATTATTGCTCTGTTTGGCCTCATATTTATTCACTACAACGTTGTGTTGTAGCACAATTCAAATAACCTCAGCGTGTCTGCATCGTCATTGCAGCCGGGGAGAAATTGTAACAGAGTTTAGCTAAACTTTCTATTATGAAAAATCAAAAATAAAAGCTTCTAAATACAATCAGAAATGTTCCAGCACGAATATGGTCTGCAATCGGGGAGAAATTAACAACATGTGATGTAAACGCTTGCAGTCGGGTGCGTTGAGTATTCAGAACAGTCTGAACCTGAGGTCTTTGCTTACAGGGCTAATTTTACATACATTTACCTCATTGTTTGAAACTTATGCCATGTTTATTACGTACACCTGGCACTGTGACATTATATATATATCATAAAATACAGCAAAGCATAACACATCCCCTTTAACTGTTAGTTTTGGTAGAAGAAGAATGAGCTGTCAAAAGCTACATAGTCTCGCTTTAAAGATGCATTTTTGCATATTTAATCTATTAAAATATGATATTTCACTTCCAGAGGAAGTTCATGTTACCAGTATATTTTCTATCCTATGACTGAGCCACCTCTTTTTTTTGTAAATGGAAATGATGCTATAATGTTTGCTAATAAGCAACAGCCTATTTGAAACAACTTTTTGAAGCCTGTTGAAAGTACATTATGGTGTAAAATGTAAAACACAGTGTGCGTCATACCTGTGTATTTTTTCTAAATAATAACATGTATGACTGAACATATATATTTGTATGTGATCAGATGCATTGTCTCCACATGCTCTCATGTACTGTAGAGGCTGATATAATGCAGACTGAGGAGACGTCAGCTCACACAAGCTTTCTGTTTACACCAGAATTCATTCAGGAAAATAAACCAAAACCCACCGTGTGTTTAATGTCTATATTTACTGTGTATGCAGACCTCAGTGTAGTGTTACATTTTCATTAAAACTTCATTTATTACTGTCTGAAACGTGTTGACTTTTTCTTACGCTAGTACATGTGAGCTTATTAAGTTGTTTTTTTAATACAACGCTGCATCTGACATATATAAAACTGTAACGTAGCTCACTAGGTGTCTCACCTGGCAGCTGCAACTCCGCTGCTATTTCCTTCCATGTTTCGTCCTCCTTGACGCGATCATGGTCAGAGCCGGAGGACACATCAGACAGACAATGCCTCTGCTGCCATAACTCCACAAGGTTTTCTTCTTTGCTGGAATCCCACACATTTCTTTAACGCATTTTGCCTCCATGACGAGCTGCTATCCGTCTGTCTGTTTGTTTGGGTTTAGCGCCAGTGCGTCACTTCATGCTGCATTTCTATTGGTTGGTGAGAAGATATAGGTCATATTGACAGTCACACTGAGAAATTGTCATCCCATATTTATGACACTGTCAGAATTTTATCCCAAGCTGCCTTTGATCGCGAGACTGTGACAACAGCCATCCTTGAACCTCCCTCACTGTGCGACGTATAGGACCACTGTTTTACAGCCACCACCAAAGATTTCACGCTGGTCATCTTTCGTCCGGGACAGCCCAGAGTCGCACAGTGTTAGCCAGGCTTTAGATATCATGTTCACAGGAATGAGACAGATGCAAGGTCACAGTGACCTTGACCTTTGACCACCAAAATTTAATGAGCTCATCTGTAGCAATGTAGGCTCTTAACTGTGGCTAGTTCAAAGAAGTCCATACTGCAGTCCAAAGATGCGTTTATGGTGGTTTATTTAACAAACAACTGGGATTACTAAAGCAAAGTGAGATGAAATATTACGTGATTATGATTACGGTCATCAGAAAATAACGGAGCCAAAAACTCTCCCTCTAATGTGAATCCACACCCACACTTGTGTCAATTCCTACTGGAAATGAAAGTGATCAAAAGAACGTGTAGCCTCAACAAATAATACGACTTGAATACACATTCTGGCTCCGACATCATCATTGAATCCAAGTGGATGTTTGTGCCATATGGTGTTCTTGGGATGTCCTGTTTACAAAAATGAGACAGACGCAAGGTTACGATGAGCCTGACCTTTGACCACTGGGCACCAAAATCTAATCAGTTCAGCGATGAGTCTAAGCGGACAATTGTGCCAAATTTGAAGAAATTCCCTGAAGGTGTTCATGAGATACTGCATTCATAAGAATGGGAGAGACGGACGGACTGACGAACAACCCAAAAACATAATGCCTCCGTCCTCGCTGGTGCAGAAGCATAAAAAAATGTCAGTGAGTGACCAGGAAATATGAAGCATAATCATATCAAACCAGAGGGAATCTTTTTGAAAGCCTTTCTCTGATACACACTGAGCTGACTTTTACACATCTGAGTAAATGTCTGAGACACATTCACTTTTTCATCACTAAAACAGTCATCGAGTGACGAGTGGAGAATGAATGAAAGGAAACAAGCGGTCTGTGACGGCACAGCTGGAGTATTGTATCTTTATTGCTGAACTTGACAGGAAAACATGACCTTCCTCCTCTTTTATCCACCTCCAACACCACAACAGCAAACTACACAATGTATCCTCTGCACGTAAACACAAGTCCAGTAATGAAATACACTCGTGCTGTAACTACTGTACTCACCAACACACAGGTTCAGTCAATCACAGGTCTGAGAAACACAATAAATTAGACATGAAAATGCTTTTTTAAAGTTATATAAAAGTGATAATAGGAAGATATTTCAGCGTGTCTGTTATACATACAGAAGTTGCAAAATGCACAACAAAAAAATAGTGAGTAGTTCAGAAAAAAACATTTTAAGTTTTGGTTTAAGCAACAATACCACCTTTTTAAAAATGTACATGCTGAACAACATGAACATTAAATACAGAAAGATTGCCGTTTTATATGATGTTTGTACAGTTCTGTGTCCAAGGCATTTTATGTGTCTGTGTTTTTTCTGTGTGGCTGGAAACTATTTTTAGTTTTGGCTCATAAAAAAACGCTATGATTTATGACACTATTGCTATAATATGCATGGTCACTTAAGCTCTTTTTCTCAGAGTCACAGTAGTAAATAGGTAGTTTACATGCTGTACAGTATGTCACATTTGGCCAAAGCTTCTTTGTTTTTTATATTAAATCTCTACCGATGTGGGGTAGACAGTGAAACGGCTGTGTTGTCATAAAGCCAAACACTTCCAACTTTAAATCGTCACACTGATCAGAGGTCTGTATGATTAACACACTCTTGTTATTAAATATAAACACTGTTTAATACGGAGGAGACAAAGAGGGAAACTGTGATTTATAGTTTGCTCCCAGTTCATCCATCTCTAAATAAATTCTTTCATCTGCTGTATTTTTACACAAAATCACACCTACTCCATAATGTATTTCTGTGATGCACATAATGTGTAAAGTTAAAGCTGCATTCATCAATATTACATCAGATGAACACGCTATGTGAAAGGGGTGGTTTGGAGTGAGGAACCTGCAGACCTGCAGACCTGCACTCTTTGGCCCAATTCCTTTTCATATTTTTTACCCCTACCCCTCGTTTTCAAGTGCCGCAGTGCCCCTCAAACAGTTACCAGAGGTGCAGAACATAATTTTGTCAAGTAGGACATGCTCCTGGATCAACATCCCACATCGCATTCCTGGACCAACCTATCCCAGCCCTCTGACATCATCAGTGTGCTGCTCCTGTGTGCTAGTTTTACAAATTAAAGTTAGTGCAATTAAACTAAATCCTTAGTAACATTAAACAAAAAACATTTATGCAGCTGCAGGGTTAGCGAGTCAGGGAGTGATCACACCGAGATGAAACCCCAGAAAACGCAACGCCAGTAAAACCATTGTTTTCCTATGATACGGCGCGTCTGACCGACGTTCAAACGTCTTTTTAGACGGCCGTTTTTACTGCATCTTTTAGACGCGCGTTTTTGTAGACACGTTTTTAGACACGCGTAGACGCTGGAAAGTTAAAATATTTTCAACTTTTTGAGCATCAGACGCCAGTAGCTAGCATGCATTGAATAAGCGCTTCCAGTGTTTCAAGCGTCTTTGAAGCGTCCGTGTCTCTAGTGTCTCATTTCTGTGTGATCGCCCCCTTAGCTTGCTAAGAATTTTAAGTGTTTTATCTGGTTTATATTGTCACCTGCTATACCATTCATCTGCTGGTATTTCTTGTCTATTTGCACAATTGTTTTGTGATGTATTGTGGGAAGTGCCTTGTGCCTTTGTTTGTAATGTAACTTAATGTTGGAGTAGCCAAAGACAATTTTCCAGTAAAGTGGACAATAAAGTTAATCTAATCTAATCTAATCTAACTAGGTTGGCTACCTGCAAAGGACACATTTGCCGTCCTTTTTATGAGCCAATTCAAAACAATTTTCTTGCAAGATTGCAGACTTGTGTTGATCCAGGACCATGATCGACATGTTGACCCTGGATAATTTGTTTGTGGAACCAGAACCATCATCATCATCATCATCATCTTTATCCTGTATCATTTGTTTAGGTTGATCCAGGACCATCACTGTCACGCTGACCCTGGATAATGTGTTCATGCTGCTCTCAAACATCATTGCCATGTTGATTCTGAATAGAATCGCTGATGTTGTTTCAGGACCATCACTGCTATGTTGATGTCGACATAAACAAATGATCCAGGATCAGCGTAATGATGATGATGGTCCTGGATAAATCTAACCAAATCTATCCCAGTCAACATGGAAAAAAGGAGGGAAAATATGTTAATTTATCCTAACTCTCTGTTACTGAACAATATTCCAGCCTACTAGCAAGCTTAGTTGTTAGCATAGCCAACATACTTAGCAAGCTAACTTGCTAATATTCTGGTCTATCAGCAAGCTTACTTGTTAGCATAGCCTATCTAGTTAGCAAGCTAACTCGCTAACCCCGCAGCTGCTTAAATGTTTTTTGTTCAATGTTGCTGAGGATTTTGTTCAACTGTACTAACTTCAATTTTTAAAACTAGCTTAGCTCTGAAGAAGCACAAAGGAATTTTGGAAGAACCACAAGAGCAGCACACTGATGATGTCAGAGGGCTGAGATTGGTTGATGCAATGTTGGTCCTAAAACGCATTTGGGCTGTTGATCCAGGAGCATGTCCTACTTGGCAAAATCACATCGTGCTACACGGGGTAGTGGAACAACCCTCCAGACCCTGATACATCATTGTTATGCTTGTGTTTACGTAAATAGACACAACAAGTGTTGGCGGCCTCACCACTGCAGTAGACATGCCGTCTTCTTTGGTGGTGACCTCAGTTTCGCTGTCAATTACACTATCAATTGATCAAACAAGTCATTACCAGGCCATTAGCTGTGCTCTGCAGGCTAACGTTAGCAACCTGTGCTCCTACCCTGCCAGTCTGCACTGATATTAGCGGAGCAATAACAACTACAGTAACTTCGCTGCTGGACATTTGCTAAATTTCAAGCGTCATATGGGATCAAAGGGGAAGAATGTGACATGGAAATATGTCAAAATGTGGGACTGTCATGCACAAATCAGCAATAACAATATAAGTTAGCTAGCTGGCTAGGTAGCTACCGAGACATTGGCATACTAGCAATTTCTTTAGTTATTCTTGTTATAAAGAAAAGGAATATAATACACTGACACAACATTAAACTAATATGATTGTTATCGCAATTTTAAGTCTTTTTTGACGACAAAAATACAGTTGTCGGTTTTCTTTTGATGCTCAAAGGCTACAGCCATCAAGTGTGCCTCTGAAAAACCTCAGTTTGGATGGCCTAACACTTCACCCTATCTCTTTCATCCCAGCAAGAATCAGTACTTCCTCCCCCTAGATGTGAACCTACCAAACGTAGGGGTAAGAGCAAAGTGGTAGCCAGAGCAAAGGATGTATTGGGATGGGCTTTTGTTTTGGTTTAACACCCATACACTTTGGCCCAGTCCACATGTACACAGGTATTTTTTTGAAAACAGGGTTTTCCTCCATTGTTCCTGTCCACATAA